TTTTAGTGTCCGTATACTATTCAGTTAGTCCGTAGCATTCGCTCTGTTCAACAATCAGTCACCACCACCACTCGCACTGATGTACGAGTGCGATACTATCCCATCTTGCGAACAAAGTCTGTCATCCATCTAGACATTATAATCTTGTCTATTTCCCTTCACAAACTTCATCTTATTCCTATTCCCATCCCATCCTTTCCTCGGCATTCCCACATGGGGTACAGTCTCCAGTGAACTGTCTACCTGGCCTTCGGTGGTCGGAACGTTGTGTAGTCAAAGTTCCCAACTCGATTATCGGCTCTTCATTGGCAACGTGTGATTCATCAGCCGAAATTATGAAACTTCCTAACCCCGTCTTAAGCCCGTATACACCTTGTAACGAAGCCTTGCGGACACTTGACCTCTGGCTTCCACAAATTCCTGTTTTACCGGTCGTCCAGTCGCAAACTTTGCTAGGATTTATTGCTCCCGGTGATCTGTTGGTAAGTTATTGTTTATTGCATTTATACATACAAGGAAGAGGCAAACAAAAAGAAGAATATTTTAAGTGAGTTACTGAACGAGAATGAAAGTTTTGATGCGGTGGGCGTAGCGTCTCCCGTTCACAAAACTTTCAGTGAATAAAACAAAGATCAAATGTACGAAAAATTAAGCATTTTGATAGGTGTCGGATAATGTACACGAACATAGTTAGATGCATGCTGACAAGGATTCTTCGTGAGTTGAGACTTGGGATCACCAGCAATGCTTTCCATACATGATGTTCTTCAATCCTGTTGTTTCATTTGTCCTTCAGGATCCCCCTCATGATCTTGGCATGTTGATTTCGGAGCCCCGTTTTAGTGTAAATTTTCGTAATGCTCTATATCATTTCAATCAGATTCAACGCTGGTTAGTATGGAGCGAGTCTGAAGATGCTCACTCCGGCAACCATGTTTTTCAATCTAGAATGACACATGCGATTTGTGTTCTTCCTGCAATAATTGATCAACTAACGTTTGCAATCCTTACAGACATAATACTGAGTTGTTTGATCCTCTTTTCAGAGTATAGTTCAACAATCCATCAGCATTCATGGCACCTAGGATGTGCAAATGTCTTCCTCTTGAACTGATCATTGATATCCGAAGCCGTTGACTTTTTGGTACACGCCCAAAATTTCGTGAATGATGCAGATTGAATTTGGTTTCATCAATCCATATAATCTCATGTTCAAGTGCCCCATACCATTGTAAGTGTTGAACATATCTGGGAGGAAATGACTTACAAACAGGCCGTTATGTTACCTTTTCCTCTCCTGTTTATAATCCAGTTAGTTCACCGTTAATGGTATTTTATGAATCTTTTTGGTTTTAATCAGTTTTCCATCTAGATATTTAATGATGGTACGTAGGTAATCGCATTTGATTCAAAGTAATCGGTGTTATTTTAGGAATCTCGACCGCAATGGAATTTATTTTCAAGGAAACCGAGGACCTAGACTGAACCCACGCAGTGACTCATGTTGACATTCGCACCTGATCATGTTGCCCTATTCGTCGATTCACCTAGACGTGATTCGCTTACCCGACCGAGCAAAGTCAATGAACGCCGGGTTCCATCATCCTCGTCTAAAGCTCACCCGTTCATAGGTCAAGGGCATAACGTCCTCCGAGGCTGATGGGTGAGGCAGAAGAACAGCCAGACTCACCCCACCGAAACTTTCATTCCCGCTCGGTAGTTCACTCAAAAAGTATTTCTGTTTGTTTACGGAGAAATTAGTTCATTCGAACGGGACTGGGTTTAGACAGACTTGGTCTAATCGGCGACGTTTGACGGCCGAAACACCAATCGTTTAATGGGTTTACCAGTGGAATGTGATTGATTGGATTCACTTGAAGTTGCAGCGGATTCACCTGAATTTACGGCGGATTCGCTTGACGTTAAAAAGGCATAATTTGTCCCCTTTTCCTCATTATATTCCTGTCTGTTTCATACTCAGCGCTTATAATGTGGACATGCCACATCTTTCTCTTTTAAATGTTTGTCATACCTCCAGTGGGATCTATATGAATTGTTTCTATGTGTCAAATTACCAATGTGTTCATTCTTACGATGCCATTTTTGCAGTTCCGACTAAACGTACGATTAACACGGGCACTTCTGACAACAAAGCGGAGAGGGAACAGGACTCGAGGCAGTCAAGGTGTATTCCATGATTAAGGTTCTAGATGCATATATATATATATGTATATATATATATATACCCAAAGCGAAATGTCGGATTGTGACCTTCACACGTTTAATTGACCAATCGGACAATCCCTGGCTTATTTGTTCTGTAATGATTCTCCTCGAACTCAGCTAGCCTTGTGTGTCGCGAGTGCGCTTGTGGCGAGTAGCAGATGGGTTCGCAGCCTACGGGTTCTGCTCTAACACTCCTTCGTAAGTGGGTTCCTGGCAAAAATTATCGTCTGTGCCTGAAGAGCATAATTGATTTGTCGTATTAAGCAAATTGCGAAGATCTCTGTGTTCTTATGGCCCCGCTTTTTATTTGTGAAAGCGGGCTATATAAGCCTGGGATCATTTTATTTGTGGATTCTTTCCGTCTGCGGGAAAGCACAATCATCAAAACACTGGTTGCTGGCGGTTCATACGAACTGGTACTCTTCGGAAATCTCGACGTAAAATACGTTTATCAGAAACCTACCATACGTGATTTGTTTGCAAGCGTAATGCGGCCAAAGTTTAATGATTAGTCCCTTTTGCATGTCAGAGTATCAGATCATAAAGTACCTCCTGCATCGACCGAATCGATTAGAGGACCCATGAATATGTCTCTTCTCTGCGTCGTTATCCTGATTCTCATGTCAATCGCCTCTTTTCTCTCGCTATCTACTTACACGCGTTTTCCTTCCTCTATCCATACAACTGTACTCAGAATTTCATTTTGGGTCCATTTCCGGATGCGGCAGTTGAGCAACCGGTGAACAAAATTCTCGAAACGAAAATTCAGGTAAGTTCTGGTCCTGTTGCGGTTTGCGCTTTTCGTTAACCCCCTCCCCGATCACTTCAGTTCACTGATCGGGTGAATTGGATGACGTGAGCTGACTGTGATGATCAATCAATCAAAAGTGCTTTGTGTCAATGCTAATCTGCTGTCTACTGTTTCATTACTCAAACAGGTTGAATTATTCCAAGCGAGCAATGGAGGATTGGATTCAATTTCAAAGGGTGAATTCGTCGTGCATATAGCAAATGAAGCATTAACTGAAAAGGTGGAAAGCACTGGTCATCTCTTTCGACCTGATTGGGTCTCATCAGCAGTTCGAATCCATCGACCCAACTTGGGATGGAACCCGGAACTTCACAGGCAGAACGCAAGCATGCTACCCACTCGACCACCGGGCATTTTTCGTCTTTCATTTACAGTATAGATATAGTTTGATGGATTCAAACTGCTGATGAGACCCAACTAGGTCGAGAAAGCTGTTCAGTGCTTCCTAGTGTTTCAGTTCAAGCTTCATTTGCTACATACACGACGAATTCACCTTTGAGATTGAATTATACCTGCTGATTCACTAAGCCGGAAACACTGCTGAGTTAAATTTTCAACTGCAGTTCATTTGGACTTTTACCCCGGGAAACTGTCAAATGGCATTA